TCAACAGCGTGAGACCTTCCATCACTTTCACAATGGAGAAGGAAATCCACAATGAATTGCCATTCTTAGACGTTTTGGTGAATCGTATAATCCTGGGAAAAACTTTTTTGTTCAGTTCCAAACAACTGAATTGAATCAGATAACATAAAAGATCCTAGAAATACACCCCTTTCAATTCAATGACTGAACATCCTGAATGCAACGGGTGGCGCAAAAAACGATCGTGAACTGAAATTGAAAGAATGTTGCTTGTTTATTTGAGCACACGACATCACAGTGGGTTTAGTTTAGGCGAGACAGTGATAGCAAGCAAAATAAGCCAGTTATATAAAATGAGTAGATACTTCAGCAAGTAGTATTTTTGAGTAATTTCATGAAGTAGCTTATTCACAAAACTAATTTCATTTGGGAAATCAGTAGCGTAGATAACTTGATACAGGTACCTACCTCAGCAAAAGTTTACCTTTTCAGATGATGAGTAAAAATATTGAATAAAAACCCATAACTTTCATTTGACAATATGCAGATATTCTCCAATATTCTCAAATGTTTCAATAAAAATCAAAACAATATCTGGATTGTGGTCTGTTAGGTTGATTCACAAATGAAATAATTGATTTCGTTTCAGAAAATAGCTTTTTGATATGATATTTCTCCATCGTCATCGTCTTACTAAAAATGTGGGAAACTTTCTGGGGAAAGAAGAAAGCAATCAAGTTCAAGTTCAACTCTTCAAAAAGATGTGTAGATCATGCAAAGAAGTAACTTTCAGACACTTTGCATGATATACACATTCATGTATAGAGTTTCAAATTGATTACTTCCTTCCTTTCTTTGGAAGATTCTCTCATCCCTTTTTTTTGTATCAGATTGAGTAGTAGAAATTGAAGTCTTCTGATTGTATGAATAAGAAAACTGACATTGATAATACCAGCACTATGTATAGTAATTTACTAGAACTACATCAAAAACATAATAATAATGAAAGATGTATCAATCAATAACTCTTTCGTTACAGTAAAAAATCATCAAATCATCATACCCATTGAAAAATGACATTTCTGTGAAGGTATGACATTTGTCAAACCCACAAAAAATCGTATACATGTTAACTTTTACGTCAATTCATATCTTCAATTTATTGTTTTTCACTCATTTTTACTGTATGATTTGTAATGTTATTCAAAGGCGAAAATATTCAAAAATCATTAAATTATAGGCCCTGAAGAAGCTTCCCATTAGAAGCGAAAACTTGGCAAAGTAAAGCAGAGTTTGATTTTTGATTTTTTGACTGAGAGACCCTGTTAATCCATTTTACCATACATTTCTCCAGTCGCTAACATTATCCAATTTATATATATATATATATATATATATATATATATATA